CCATCCTTCCTGAGCGTGTGGGGTCTGTGCCCCCCCCGCAGGACTGAGCCCCCCCAGGCCCCACTCGCCGGCTGCTGCTGCGGCGCCTCCGGCCCTGCGGGGACAGGGGGGACATTAGGTGGCGGCAGGAGGGGGGGTGACGTCCGGGGGGGGGTCTCTCGGCGGGGGGCCTCACCTCAGTATGGCCGGTTGGCGTCTTTCGGTCTCTTGAGCTGCACCTTGAGGCGCTTCATGCCGATCTGGAAGCCGTTCATGGCCTGGATGGCGGCCTGGGCGCTCGCGGGGTTGTCAAAGCTCACGAAGCCTGCGGGGACAGCGAGGACACGTGGGGCGCACGGGCACCCTGCAATGGGCACGTCCCCCAATGTCCTTGCAGGGGGGGCTCGCTGTGTCACCCACAGTGGAGGCCCCAGGTGGGTGGAGAGTCTCACGTCCCCCGTTATGGGGTCCCTGAATGTGGTGGCCCTGTGTCCCCTGGCCCTAGAGCCACTCTGCTCCTGGATGTGGCACCGCGGGAGCCGCTGTCCCCTCTGTGGGGACCCTGGGCCTCTGCAAGCGGGTTTGTGCGTGGAGGGCGGCAGTCCCGAGGTGCTGGTGTCCCAGTGTCACCCCGTGCAGTGTGTCCCACGACCTGGCTCCTCGTGCCCCCTAGCACAGGGGCCCTGTGTCCCCCGACGTTGGGGGGTGTCCCGGGACTTGGTGTCCCCGTGTCACCCGGTGCGGGGTGCCAGTGTCCCCAGCCGTGTCTGTGTGAGAGGGGCGTCCCCGCGCGGGGCCCTACCGAAGCACTTGCTCTGGTTGGTGGCCCGGTCCACGAAGACCTTGGCAGAGATGACGTTGCCGAAGGGCAGGAACATCTGGAGGATCTCGGTGTCTGCGAACTCCTGGGGCAGGTGGTAGATGAAGATGTTACAGCCCTCGGGGCCTGCGGAGGGAGGGGGGCATCAGAGCGGGCGCACGGGGAGGCATCCCCCCCCGAACAGGAGCAACTCCCCCCGGGGGACACCCCCAAACCAGGATCCCCCCACATGGTAGCCCCCCAAACCAGCGCCCCCCCCTCCACAGGGCACCCCAAGGCTCTCCAACCATGGAGAGTCTTCAGGGACAGAAGACTCCCCCATGACTCCCCTAGGGACCCCC